TAGCCCCCAGGGATGGAAAGGCATGATGACTAATGCACCTTTAGAAGCTCTCAAAAAATGACCTACATTGCTTTCCCCGTAAATGGAAATATTATCTGATATCGGAAGACCTTTCTGAATTCTGAAGCAAACACTGTAAATTGTATCGGAGGAGAGGGAATACTGATTTCAGATGAGAAGAGCTGTAGTATATTAAAGGTTAAGCTGTCCTAATTCAAGGGGGAATGGTGACAAGCCAAGAGCCTTTCTGTGTGAAGAGGTACAGCCAACTGTGTGGCAAACTGGCTGCATTTGCTGGGAGAACTCATCTTGTAGAAGGATTCACATTGTAATTCACTTACAAAAAGGACACTTTGACAGCAATCCAATGCAGGGATTAGGGTGTTGCACTAGAATATGGGGAGGTCTGCCCTGTTTCCCCTTTATTTTATTTTTGTATTATTATTTTTTTGCCTGCAGAGAAGCTGCTTGCTTTGCAAAATGAACTGCTACAGACTTCAACCACCTGCTATCTTTTGCCCAGACTGAGGCATCTATATAAATTACCATATGCACATTTGTGTCCTGAGTCTTTTAAGTACTTAGCAACACCCCTGCACTCAGCCATGTAGCTTGCTGGGGATCGTGGCCAACTTACTCTCAACACAGACTTCCCCACAGGGTAGTTGTGAGGATTGGAAAAAAGAGGGGAGATGGCATCTAACGCCGGTAAAGCTAGCAAGGATGTATAGAACAAAAAATAAGAAATGTTGGAAGTGTGGAGAGGTGGAGGGTGACCTCTACCATATGTGGTGGACCTGTGGTAAAGTGAAGGGCTTTTGGGAATTAATCTATAATGAACTTTAAAAAATCTTTAAATATACTTTCCCAAAAAGACCTGAAGCTTTTCTACTGGGATTGATTGGAAAGGAAATTGAAAAAAAAGATAAAAACCTATTTCTATATGCCACGACAGCAGCCAGAAATATGTTAGCTCAGAATTGGAAAACAGACATAATACCAAATATAATGGACTGGCAGGTTAAAATGATGGACTACGCAGAACTGGCCAGACTATCAGGAAAATTAAGAGATCAGGACAAGCAGAAGTTTCAAGAAAATTGGAGTAAATATTTGATATATATAAGAAACAACTGTAAATCTTTGAAGACACTGGTAGGGTTGGAATAACTCTTACAGCGTGTAGTTGATAATATGATATATGAAGTACGCGACATTAGAATTTTATTTGATACTTACCAAAGAAATGGAGGGAACTCAGAGGCATGATAGAGCCTAAGTTAAATATGTAACCTATATATGTGTAATTTATGAATGTATGTATGTTTACTGAAAATCAATAAAAAAAATTAAAAAAAGGAAAAAAGAGGGGAGAAGCACCACCCTCGACTTCTTGGAGGACAGGATAAAAAATGCAATTGATAATAAATCAGCAAAAAGGACAACAGATGACAACAGGCAGTTGGACAGAATGGAAGGCAGGTGAATGTTATGTTGTCCTGGTATGTTAATGTTTCCAGTTTGCTTAATCCAAGCTTTCAAGTCTCTGAATAACAAGGCAAGAAACATCAGTGGTTGGGTCAAGAATATATGAATGAGAGCAGTTAGCATAATAGAAGTACAGCAGTTGTGGCTGTATTTTGCCAGGGATCAGTAACCGGCTGCCCTGGGCAAAATCTTCTCCCTCTCTTTGCTAACCAAGGATGAAAAGACCATACAGGGAACAATAGCAATAGGACTTTTGCAGGGTCCACGAGGAGCAGCACTCCACACTTCCTTCTCACGCTGGCCTAGCATGAACATGGGCACCACTAAGCGCTCACTAGTCTACCTAGGACTTTCCAGCTTGCCTTTCTCATGGACTGGGTGGCTACGGTCTTAGCTATGAGGAACTCTGAAAGATCAGGGGTGGGAAGAGGGATAGGTGCCTGCCTATCAGCTTGAAAGCAAAACAGTGCTGCACAAAATAAGAGAATGGTTTATATGTAGTTGGGTGTCTTCTTCAGTGTGCTGTGGTGTATATATACATTTGTAAATTTAAAAACAACAAAACGACCTGACAAGGTCCTGGGAGCTTCGAGAACATAAAAGATGTTGAAATGTTAATTGAGAGGACAGAGAGAAAGAGACAGAATATGTGCGAGAGGGAGTGCCATGGCTCCCCATGAGCCCTCTGATTCAGACTAGGAGTGGGAAGCATTTGAAGAAGGGGGAGGAAAGGGATGGTGAGACTAGGCCTCAAAGATCTCTTGATGGGCCTGTATCTACTGATGAGGAGAGGTAGACAAAGGTGCTGCCTCTTCCCTGCCCATGGAGGACAAGAGGGGGTCAGGAGTGTGATCTGCTCTGACAGAGAGCAGGAGGAGGCTCCATCTCCATCTCTCAGAGAGAAGTGGTACAAAAAGAGAAAAGAGATTTGACCCTAGGTGGAGCACCTACCTGCAGGCCAGGAATTCCCACTTGGCCAGGGATTCTTGCAAGTACCTGCACATTCTCTTTCTCTCTTTTAAAGACTTGGCAAGGAAGGGAAAGGAAAGTCATTGGAAAAACTTTCCAGCTCCCAATGCTGCTTTGGAACTCTTGTGATTAATCTCGGACACCTGGACCTTGTTTTTTGGACCACACTTATTGTTGTCATTCCTTTGCCTTGTAAGAGTGTCTGGACTAGATACTGCTCGCTCTTCACCTCTGAGTTCATATTGTGGGACTGCTTTATAGTGAAAATTCACTTCTGTAATTACAAGCAAGTGCATCCGTTACTATTTTTGGGTGGGAAACAGGACAGGGGTGGGATTGGAATAGTAGAGAACAAGAGGAAATTGGTCTGTTCAAGCCTCCAACAGCCTGAGGTAATGGGGGTGGGGGGATGAAGTCCTAGTCCATGAGCCAAGGTAAGCCTTGTGTTTCATGTGGTGTATTGTTCCCCTATCACCAGCCACCACTGCTGGGCCACCTGTAGGCTCACTGACTTGTCTGCCACCTGCCCACTAAGCAAGACACCCCACCCAAGGGGTCTTTTGGGAGACTGCTGGCCCCACTTCACAACTGCAGGCCATCCAAAAGTACCTAAGATTTTCTATCGCATTGTTTGCTTCCTGATTTCAAAAAAGATACAGTGAAAGTGCAGTGATAAATGCTTTTTAATAAGGGAAATAGAGTCATCTCCATTATTTGTCTCACTCCAGTGCTTTTATGTTGAACTCTTCCCCCCTTTCCCTTTGCAAATAAAGCACACTAAAATATGCATTCCCTGTGGGTGTACCGGGAGTCTGCAGCAACTACAGATGATCAAATAGCAGAAGAGCAATGCAACTGACTTCACAATCATATGCCTTTTTTTCTGAGAAGAAAACACACTTCTTCTGTCTTGCTGTAAGCTTAGCAAAAGGCTACATAGAGACTAATAAAATCTAACTGTGAGGGTGGAGAGAAGGGAGGGGATAATGCCTACATGAAGCAGTTATTTTTGGGTCTCAGCCATGGCTGAACGTATTTAATTAGTTAAATTAGCCAAATGAATCTGGGGAGGATAAATCAGAGAGATTTATTGTGGTGAAGCGCAAGGTCCAAAAGATGCATTAATATTATTTATAGAGCTGGCTTGCCCTTTAGGGAATTTTAAACCTACATTCTAATTTTCTAAGGGGATAAAAATGTTTAATGCCTATAGCAGATATCTCTGATCCATTGCTGCAACTGCTTGTATTTTGTCCTGTAAAGGAGTCACTTCTTAAGAAATTGGGAAAGAGATCTCTATAGCTAGTCCCATAAGCAATATTCTCCCATTTAAGTGAACAAATTATTGCCATACACTCCTATGGAGGGACATTTCAGGACAATCTTGTAACGAGAACAAATACTATCTTATTGTCAAAGCCAATGCCAATACATTCCTGATCTTTTCAAAAGTACATAAAACACTTTTGTCTTGGTATACTGCCAAGCAACTATTAGTAGGATTTACTAATGAAAATTCAAAAATGGCAGGTTTACATATTCAGCTTTTAAATAAATGAATAACAGGTCGCTAATATATTTCTTTGATCAAAGCATCTCCTAGCACAATTATATGCATGTGTACTCAGAAGTATTACTGAATTCAATGGGGTTTGTTTCCAAGTGACTATAAGATTGTAGCCTGAATAGCCCAGCCCTATACCCATTTATTCAGAAGTAGGTCCCACTAGCTTCAGTATGGCTAACTTCCAAGTACAGGTGGCTGAATCTGCCTACACTATTTTGGTTTAACCTTTTTCTCAGTCATAAGTTCATTTTGCTCCTTTATGCATACATTTGATAACTTTATTTTTAAAAGCCTGCATGAAATTTTGTATGCATTTTCATGCACATCTTCATGCATTTTTAAAAAATTTTTTATTAACAATGAGATAGTCATTTTTGTGTTTACTTTTCACCAATAGGCATTTTTAAAAACACATTATTTGGTTGGAGAAGTGCATCAGAAAATTTAGAGAAACCTGACGGTTGAAGGAGAGCTGGGCTTCTAGTTTATATATTGGCCTGGGAAGTGTAAATTTGGTTAAAAGGCAAAGCAAACTAATTTCTCCCTCATCCCCACTCCCAAGTATATGTGCATGTACACAGGATCATAACTGACTAACTGATAGTCCCTTAAAAGTTAACAAAGCTATCCAAATTCACCTTACAGCGGGATAGTCCCACAACTCAACTCCGCTGGCTATGCTGGCCTCCAGCCGCCCACCACGGATGAACAGCACTTTCCAGAGACCCATGGGCACAGTCCATTTAAAACAGTCTCATGAACAGTAATGGCATCACCCTAAAGAACCCTGGGAAGTGTAGTTCATTAAGGGTACTGAGAGTTGTTAGGAGAGCCCTCTCTATCCCCCTCACAAAGCTGCAATTCCCTTTAGCCATTTTCCACATAGCAGTACAAAGGATCATAGAATTGTAGAACTGCAGATTTGGAAAGGACCCTGAGGATCTAGTAGAACAACCGCAATGCATGAATATGCAGCTGTCCCATGCCGGAATCGAACCTGCTACCTTGGCATTACCGGCACCGCGCTCTAGCCAACTGAGCTATCTAGACAGTTAAAATAGCACCATGATATAGAATCACAGAATGAATGCAGGGCCGTCTTAAGCATATCCAGCGCTGTAGCTCAAATATCCCTCCGGTGTCCCCCCCCCTTTCCCAGAGTTGTTGGCCTTTCCCCAAGCCTCTGCGGGGATTGCTGTCCTCAAACGCAGGCTTGGGAAGGAAGCTGCATGCCTGCCAGCCATATAGTTGGCGGGGCGCAGCTTCCATCCTAAGCCTCTGCGGGGATCGCTCTCCTCCTGCAGAGACTTGGGAGGCAAGCTGCACACCCGCCAGCCGTATGGTTGACGGGCCACAGCTGGGGGGCATGCAGGGAAAGGGGAGGCCGCCGGCAAAGCCACGCAGCTCCCCTACTCGCTGGGGTGCCCCTGAGAGGCCAGCACCCTGGCGCAACGCACCAGTAAGCCTAATAGGAAAGACGGCTCTGAATGAATGTTTACTAGGCCTCAGCTCAAAAGTAAGATTCTAGAAACACAGGAAGCGGTCTATAATATTGGAGGCCATTCTCACCTCCAGTTAGTGATCAAGGACCGGAGATGGGCATCAGGGCCACAATAAAGTTGACACTATCTACCATGAAGAGCTTTATGACTTGCGTATTTTGCCATTAAACTTCAACCAGTACTTTTAATGCCCATTTTCAAAACATAAAGCATGAGTTCGTATTAACTAAAACCATATACCTCAAGGACTTGCTTCTCGTAATCAAGAGCCATAGAATAGCTGGGCCCCTTTTTATTTAATTGCCCTAAAGCTCTGAAGCGTTTTTATATAACTGGCAAACATGTGTCTCTTGTCTAATAATTATTCCAGCAGGCATCATGCTTTATATTGCTAAATCACTACGTTGCTCAATTAATGTTAATCATAGAAACGGGCCTCAAATTGATGATCCCTACCTATTATAATTATAGATTCTACAGCTCAGCATATGCAAATAAAAGAAAGCAAACCATACTTATTATGACAACATGCATTCTAATAGTCAAAAGCTGCAAACTTAATTGCAGATAAGGGTGGATAGTACAATTCTGTAATTAGTACCAAAACTGTTATTTCCAGATAATTAAACTATTACACAGGCCTGGGAGATCCCTGGTAGAACATGCTTTTGGGCAAATTAGGGTAAAGGCATTCCAGGAATGTTAAGTGCTTGTTGAGGTTTGGGAAAATATAAAGAGCCCTTTGATCAGGCCAAAGGCTCATCTAGTCCAATGTTCTGTTCTCACAATGCCGAAGTAGATCCCTATGGGAAGCCTGAAAGTAGGGTCTGAGTGCAATAGCACTCTCCTCACTTGTGATTCCCTGCAGCTGGGGCAGAACATAGCCAGCACAGCCAGTAGCCCTGGATAGCCTTAACCTTCCATTAATTTGTCTAATCCTCTTTCAAAGCCACACAAGATGGTGGCTATCACTACATCTGGTGGGAGTGAATTCTATAGACTTATTGTGTGCTGTGTGAATCAGTACTTTATGTATCTTCTAACATTCAGCTTTGTTGTTTGGTCCCAAGAGAGATTATTATGCGATCGGGAGAAAAACTTCTATCCACTTTCTTTACTACACCATGCATAATCTTATATATCTCTATCATGTCTCCTCTTACCTTAAACTAAACCCCCCCTAAATGGTGTAACTTTCCCTCATAAGGGAATCACTTCAGCCTCTTGACCATTTTGCTTGTCCTTTCCTGAGGCTTTTCCTTTTTGAAGTGAGGAACCAGAACTGAATTTAATATTTCAAGTGTGGTTTCACCATAGATTTGTATAGCGCCGCAACCCCAGAGTCGTTCGCGACTGGACTTAACTTTCAGGGGTCCTTTACCTTTTTTTATTACAGTATATCATTGGCAGTTCTATTTTCAGTCCCTTTTCCCTAGCATGGAAAACACCCTTTTCACAGCTGTGCACGCTGCGTTGGAATCTTCACTGAGCTATCCACCAAAGGCCAAATCTTGTCCCTGACCAGTCACTGCCAATTCAGACCCCATGAGCGTATATGTAAGTTGAGAACTTTTGGGCCCAATGTGCATCATTATACACTTGCTTATATTGAATCACATTTGCCATTTTACTGCCCATTCATCCAGTTTGGAGAGATCCTCTTGCAACCCCTTTCTACTTTAACCAACCCAAAGCAATTTGGTATCATCAGCAAATATGGTGACCACACCCTTAGCTCTAGATAACTTATGAACAAATTACAAAGCATGGGTCCCAATATTGATCCTTGGAGGGTTCCACTTTCTACACCCCTCCATTGGGAGAACTTTCTATTTATTCTTACTCTCTGCTTCCTGGTCCTTAACCAGTTACTGATCTGTAAAAAGACTCGCCCTTTCTCAAACTTGGGTCCCCAGCTGTTGTTGGACTCCAACTCCCATCATCCCTGACCACTGGTCCTGCTAGCTAGGGATGATGGGATTTGCAGTCCAGCAACAGCTGGGGACCAAAGTTTGAGAAACACTGTTAAATCCCATGACTGCTAAGCTTATTTGGGAGTCTTTCGTGAAGTACAGTGGTACCTCGGATTAAGAACATAATTTGTTCTGGAGGTCTGTTCTTAACCTGAAACTGTTCTTAACCTGAAGCACCACTTTAGCTAATGGGGCCTCCTGCCGCTGCACCACTGCTGCACGATTTCTGTTCTCATCCTGAAGCAAAGTTCTTAACCTGAGGTAATATTTCTGGGTTAGCAGAGTCTGTAACCTGAAGCGTATGTAACCTGAGGTACCACTGTACATTATCAAAAGCTTTTTGAAAGTCTAAGTACACAATGTCAACTGGGTAACCTGCATCTATATACATGCGGACACTCTCAAAGAACTCCAAAAGATTAGTGAGACAGGATTTAACCTTGCAAAAGCTATGCTAGATCTGCTTTAGCACAACTTGGTTCTTCTATATGCTTGGTAATTCTAGCTTTAATAATGATTTCCACTGGTTGTCCCATTACAGATGTTAAGCTAACTGGCCTGCAATTTCCCAGACCCCTTTTTAAAAACACTGATGATACATTGGCCACTTTCCAGTCCTTGAGACTGATCTACAGAGGATGATCTTGGGGACAAGTTACATATTTTTGTTAGTACATCAGCGTTTCCACATTTTAATCCACAAAGTGTTGCACTGGCACAATTGCAGGGCCAGAGCGACCTCAAGTCCTTCTTGCACCACCAGATTCACTATGCTAAGAGGATCCATTAACATTCAAGGAGGCAAGTGCAGTCTGCGGGCAATCAGCGGGTCTGTAAGCAGTTTCCTCTCACATTCTGAAAACCTGCTGCCGCAAGATGCAAAAGCAACATTCTCATTTCAGCAGCATCCACATTGATTTCCCCACAAGGCACTGGAACTCTGTTAAATTGTGGGGAAATCGGAGCTCTGCTCATGCAGTTGCCTATGGCCTTAGAACAAAAAGTTCCAAAAGAAAGAAAGAAAGATTGAAGGAAGCCACGCAGAGCCCACCAAGAGCGGTGCTGTCAGTGGCAGCAGCGAGATACTCTTTTAAAAGGCAAATGAAAGGAGCAGATATCCAGGCTGGGGGGAAGGGAATGGAGCCTATGTAGGAGGGAGAGCCACCGTCAGGCACTCTGTTGAGGACCCCCTCAAACTTGGAAGTGGCTCTGGGTGGCCAATCAGAATCTATGTATCTGCCAAAGCAACACATTGTGGGTTTGCAGACATGAAGCAGAAATGGTTCGAACTGGGAGTGTGGTGAGGTAAAGCAAGTATTGGGAGGACAATAGTGGGTTTGCTTCCCTCCCCCGTGCACTCCATTTACTGTAAAAAGTTAACTCCCTGCCCTGCTTTATAGCCAAACAGACAAGTGTTTAATAATTTATTGCTTAATTAATGTGTAATTGCTTAATTGTCATTATGGCTTAATTATCTTACTTCTTTCTTGATGTATTACTTAATTATCATACTTAAAATGTAGAATTGCATTATTATTAGAAGTTGCAGCTGCATTGAACGTGGGATTTGTATCTTGATGTAATATACTGTACATTGATTTTTGTTGAGATGTCAACTCTTGAACTGTAAAGAGGTATAGAAGTTTGGCAATTAAATGCATTTTGTACACTTCTAATAAGACATTATAAGCTTTCAAAAAGCGCCAAGTTTCCTTTCTACAAATCAAAACAAGTTTCTCTAACCTGGATGTTCTACAGCTGTAGCCCAGGTAAAGAAAGCTACAAGGAATGGATACATACACAATTCTTAAAGTTTCATTGCCCTCTTGTGTTTTGTGAATGTACTGCAAGTTCAATGTGTAAATGACTTAACTGGCTGAAAGGAAGAGAAATTAACATATTACACTTTGGCTACCTGGTGCCCTTGGCTGGGGCTGATGGGAGTGGGAGTCTAAAACATCTGGAGAGCAGCAGGGTAGTGAAGGCTGCCATATCGTACATTGCTAGCGTAGAAACCTGAACATTATGCCATAGAGACAAAAAAAGAAAAAAAATCTGCAAAATATGGTCCAAAATTATGCAAGGGCCAGTCAGTTAGTATTGTGCAGAGCATGTCTCTGAGGTGGCCTGGTAGTTGACTTATGATGAAAAATGTTTCAGGGCTATGACAAGTGTGTGATGGAAGCAGGGGGGCAGAGGCTTACCCCGGAGGGCCAGAGATTTATGAGGTTTGGTGCCACTTGCGAGGCAGGAGCTAGGTCTGGTGGAAGGGGAAGACTGAGCAGTCAGAGGCAGGGCAGGGGGTGCAGGACCTGGCATAAGCAGAGGCTGTTCAGGTGAGGGGCAGGCCAATCAAATCCCCACCATCCGCTGCCCCGCTGTCTCCTAGAACCAGGGGGGTATTGAAGAGGCAAGCGCGGCGGCTACTTCCGTGTAGGGGCACAAGCCTGGGAAAGTAAATGCCAGCTGCTAGAAGTGTGTGTGTGTGTGTTCTGTGTACCTTAGGAGCTGTTGTAAGTGTGTTGTTTTGCAAATAAAAGAATTAAAACTACCAGCCATTTGCCCTCCTTGGCTGGGAGTGCCCAGCACAGGTAGCAACAGGTTGAGAATATTTGAGTCCCCGTCAGATTATGCACAGGTCACGTTTTGATGGCCTGGCCCCACCTCCCTCAACACTGCAGCAGGGAAGCTGCTGTGCTAGAGAAGCCACCCTCTACAATATGGCGAAAATGCAATATCTTATTCTCTTGGGGGACGGGAACAAAGCAGGATTTGTTTGTAATGTAACATACACTATCTCTGCTTAAATCTGCCTGCTCCCTTGTTTCCAAGCACACTTAAAATTGACCAAGTTAACATTTAGCCTTTTATTTATGGTCTTTTCGGTACCAGGCAATGACCTTTTTTATACAAACAGGCTTTTTAACTGGTCTTTTAAATCCAGGTTGTAAAGGATTTTAATTTACGTTGCCGTTGTGTAAGAAGGTTTTTTGTGTGCTGTCGTCTATTGTTTGCTTGCTTTTAAAATATTATAAACTATGTTTTTAGTATTTTGTTATAAGCTACCCAAGGAATATTTATTGGTGGGCATCTATGCCAATCTAATACATTAAAAAATTGTTATTTTAACTTATTTATTTTAGCTTTTTTTAAAAAAATAAAAAACACCTTTTGGCTTATAGCCCTATCCTCATGTTCTGTTACGTGCATAAAATGAATGTGTAGCAACACCAATGGTTGGCTTGCACCCCTTGCTGAGGGCAACAAAATGAATATGTCAGTTTCTCATTTTTCCAATCTTAAATTCAATTCTCCACATTTCCGCATCAGTTTGGGATTTTATCTTAAAAAGTCCTCATGAAAACTCGCCCATATTTTCATGCGATTTTCTCCTAATATACACATTTTGGTACGGCCCATTATCCACTCTACATGTTTTTGCAAGTGAGTTCCCCAAATATAATGCATTTTGTATGTTATTTTCACAAATACATGCATTTTGAGGCACACTTTAGTATGTGCATTTTTTACACACTACGCGGCACTACAATAGTTGAAGGATTTTGAAGGATGGCTGTGCTTCCGTTCCTGTTCTGTTTCGGGAAGGGCAAATTACACAGGCTCACCTTTAAATGTGAACTGGAGCAAGTTTATCCCCCTTGGCCGCAGCTCCAATGTGCATGAACGCTTCTATACAATCAGCCACCCTGATCATTCAGCATTCCTAGTCAGGTGGGAACGCACTCTATGTTGCATGTATGTAGAAGTCAGGTTCTCACCTTCTACCAACTCTGCATAGACCTGTGGAAGCAACTGGCACAACCCTCTCCACTTCATGTTTCTGCTGTAGGTGTGGAATGGAAAATGAGAAAAGTGTTCTGTGCAATGCAGAAGCTTGCTTCTGGCACTTTGAACCTTCTATTGCATTTATATATATATATCCACAAGATGGAGCTCAAACAGTGACAACCAGTCAGAATTGCAGTGGCATCAATGTGTAGTAATGAATTAGTATATACTAATTGATGGGAATGTTATCCGTTGGATGGCGATTTCTTAGTTCCACAGTCTCTGATCAGCAATCAGCACAATGTAAATATTGTCTGCCTTGTCACCAGGGGAACCTCCTCTTTGGTGGAATAAAGGATTTATGTTCTGTGTCAGGAGTTATCAGCTTTGATTCCCGCCTTAGACTCCGGGCCAAGGAAGGAATAACAAACTGTGCTCAGTGATGTTTCTCCCTCTCTGGCTCAGGGGAACTATTAGTGTTGACATAATTAACTGGAAGATGAGAAAGGGGGAAATCTAATTTCTACTCCAACATATGGTTTAAAACTATTAGAGCAGAACTTTTCTCCAAGTCAGTCTGCATGGAATCAGGCTCCAGACAGGACTCAGTTATACACATTTTTGAATCTGAGCAAACAAGCCAGGAGAACTTGCAGAGGACACAAAATCCTAACCACGCACAAAAAGAGAGAGATGATCAGGTACAGCTAGGGTACTAAGGACTTCTGACCTGTTCAGATAATTCACAACAATCGTGGCTGCTTTCACACAAGGGCTTACGGTAATTTGCAAATGGGTCACTGAGACATTGCAAAGGATGTTGACAATAGTTGCTTTGTTTTTTACTTATCTGATTTCCCCTGGAATGGGTAAATCTGAATTAAATGAGTGGTGGAGTGGGAACACAGGCAGGCATTTTGACGCTAATGACATTGTGTTGGTGCTGCAAAAATATTGCATGCTTTAAAAGAGGATTAGACAGATTCATGGAGGCTTAGGCTACCAGTGGCTAAACACAGCCAGGGTAAGTTCTCTTGTGCTTGGTCCTGTCTGCGGGTTTCCCACAGATATCTGGTTGGCCACTGTAAGAATAGGATGCTTAACTAGATGGGCTATTGACAAGCTCTTATGTTCTTACCTGCACCAGTTCCACCATAAACACCTGTCTGGATCTAAAATAGTAAAACAAATCAATGTAAAAGGCTAATGGGCCACACAATCACGAATGTGTATAAATTCTAG